AAGTGGCAATACTTTTTCATACCTGAGTATTGGGGGCACTCTTCATAGGTTAAGGGTGTAAGACGTAATTTTTTCCTTGCACGGAGGTGTAAACCTCGGAGTAGGTGACCTTCAACAAGGTGGGTGGCATTGAGTGAGGGGCAAGGCTCCAATCCTCCAACTCATTTGGCTTCCTTCTTCGGGGTTGAAGGGAATTAGGTGTAATACTTTTTACCCTCTCTGCTCTGATGTGGCCCTTGATGACCTTTCTCACCAAAGATAGATCATTTTTACATAGTGCATAGAGCTCTTTCTATAGTTCTATGTCTCGAATTCTAGCTACAAGAGCTTTAGTGCAGACAGGTTCGATAAGCTCATCAACCTTTGACATTTCCCGGTAAAATCAAGAAAAGTGAGTATGTGTGCTTTTGTCTTCCTTTTGAACAGTGAAAATAAGGTAAGAGGTTTTTACCTTGGGAGAAACATTGAGGGAGAACTCTGCCACTAGTCGTAAGGACAAATTTTTCAGGCTGCCTTTAGAGTTAGGACCCAAGCGATTATACCACTTTTGGGTCGTCCCTTGAAGGTTGTTAGGAGAATTCTACACATGGCATTCACATCACGATTATGAGCTCAAGCATTTCTTTAATGTTCTGTATGTGATCCCAAAGGTCCGTCAGATCACCATCCATCTCTGGACTTGGCTATAAAGAGAGAAACCCTTTTGGCAGTTTAATAGACAAAATGTGTGGGAAGAGTGGCAAATTGTTCGTAGTCTATTTTTTTCTACTCAAAAGTGGGGGAATGCAAACTAAGGTCTTCCTAAGGCCATTTTAGATGAGACCCTGGCTTTCGCTCTTTCCCTCCCTCGTAGGGGGGAGAACAATTCGATTGGCAGTTAGACTCTTTTTCTGATGTTCTTCCTCGTCAAATGTTTTATCCTCCTCCATTCCCACTCTATGAGAAAGTGATTTGCGTGTCTAAAGTTGAGATTGCTGAGGATGGTATCCCATCGAAGGTGTCAATGCATTCATCTACACTAGAGTCGCCAAGAGTATACCAGACAACTTATGGATGCTCTTTTGTAGTTGACATATACTTATAGCCTGTGCTTGACCTGGCGAGGTTTAGAGGAGTAGTACATCCAAAAATTTATGGTTGTTTAGTCAGCTTGGAGACAATTTGTAAAATGAATAAAAAGGTACAAAGAAGCTGAATTTTTGCTCACATTCTCCACATACGGCACCTACTGATAAGTGATGAGTCATAAGCCATGGGAGACTCGTCCAGTAAAATAAGGATATGTGGTTGGAGTAGGTGGAGTGAGGTTTGATACTTAGAAAAAGGGCAATTCCTTGCACTTGTTACCTGCAAAACAAGAAAGTTTTTAGCATTAAGTCAGTGATGGTGAAATATTCTCATAATGCTCTTTAGAAAAAATATTTAATTACAAGTAAATATTTTCATAAAAAGAGAATTGTTTAGAAAATGAAACCTGAATTCTGGGTGATTTGGACTTTACAGAGATAGTTATAGGTGCAACTTCTATGATCGGAAAAGATAAAATCATCCTTGCTCTTTGATGATAATAGTTAAACTAACAATTGATGATGATCTGTTATCATTTTATTTGATCAATGACAATATTATTATCATCATGATAAGTGATAATTTAATTAATATCATCATATAAAAGAATTTTTATTAAATATTTTATCTTTTATAGTATGATAATTTAATTAATGTTATTATATGAAAGAATTTTTATTAAATACAGTAAGAAAGTGGATCTTCTTCTCCCGAGCTAGAGTGTTACAGGAATAGTTTCTAAAATTTCTCTTGAGAGGAAGCCTATCTCGTGGGGGGTGGGGGCGGTTGTCTATTAAAGACTTCGGATCCATCTGATTGATTTGTGTTTTTTTGATAGGACTTATGGGTGATTGCCGACGATACGTGTGATGTGTGTACTTCAGAGGAAATTAGAAAAATGATTGAACATTTAATGCAGGTCCTTTAGGTTTGTTCAAGGCCTCTTTTGTTCACCTTCTTAGCCCCCGACCGATTCTGTAGTAGATGGTACTGTAGCTCCTAGAGGGAAGGTGAGCAATTGTTAACCTGTCTTTTGTTTGGCCCTAGTGTTAACCTGTCTTTTGTACTATCATATAGATTTCAAACATTGCTTAGTAAGACAAGCTGGTCTCAAGACTGTTCTATGATTAAAGCTTAAAACTTTTACTATTTCCATAATTTGGTTCTCAAATTCTTACTACATTCAAAGTAACACAGTCCTCGACCTAAAACATAATTCAAGCTTTATACGGGGAAGTTACCGTCACGTCTTCAAAGTTTTAGGGAATTGAACATTAATTCTCTCGTAGCTTCTGACATCTATATGATAGTCCTTGAGGCTTAATACCAAGTAAAAATTCAGTCCGTTCGTATGCTCCTTTAAAATATATATATATATATATATATATATATATATATATCCTACAAGGAGTCAGGGACAAATAGAGGGTTTAGAAGTTGAAAAACTAAACCAGATTTCACCACAAACTCAAAGGCGTTAAATAATCTAACACTACATCCAATATATTTTCTAAACCCTGTCTTTTTGACATAAGTCTTGGTGAACCGGCAAGAAAGAAGGCTCGGGGTTTAAAGCAGCCCCACCATTGTAGCTATATCGAGGCTTGATTTGCGTCGGTGGTGGGGACTAGACAGTAGGATATTCTCAACTTCTATATTTTAAATATTAAAAAATAATATAAAATTATTTTTAAAATTTAAGTTGTTAGGTTAAAATGATTTTTTTTAATTAAATAATTAAACACAATGTATTGATAGGTCTATGTAATTTTAAAAAATAAAAAAAATTTACTTAAAAAATATTAAAATATTTTTACTTGAAAAGAATGTTAAAAAATAATATAAATTTTTTTAAAAAAAATCTCATCTAAAAATTAAAATTTTAAATTAAAATGATTTTTGTTACCATGGATACCAACGAGCTTTTGTTTAAGTTTGTTTTTTAACAAGGGCTCGGCCTACTATTAAAGACACCAATTTCATCATGTGATCAAAATGGAATTATAATCCATTCAAGAACTAAAAAAAGGAATATTTGTGTAATCCACTGTATTCGCTGACCGTCCTTATCGTATAGAATTAGAGTCACCATCCGTTTACTAAGAGATGCAGGTGGGCCTCCTTAGCGACCTTGTAGTATTTCGATTTAACATAAATTTTATCTTGATTGCATTAGGATTTAATAATTTCGAATTTATAATATCAAATATTGTTATTTAAACCTTTAAAATATTGAAAATTAAATTCACCATTACAATTTCAGATCTTAAACATATATTTTTGTAAATTACAATGAATATAATTAATAATTGATCTTTCTAATTTTATAAATTATATATAAAAAAAACATTTTTTATAAAATATTTATGATATTTTATAAAAAAATTTAAAAATCAAAATTAGCAGGATAAAAACATTTTCAAGATTAAAAATATTTTAAAAATTTTTTAAATATAATTAATACTAAAATGTCAAAGCGATATTGTTTTAGTATTTCAAATAACAATCAACTTAATGGATCATTATACATAACTGAAATTGGATAATTTCAATCATATTTATTCAAACTTTAATATTTTAAATTTCAAATTTAGTAATTTTATTATCAGTTCAAAATTACATAACTGTAATTTTGTCCCCCACTAAACCGTAATATTTGATGGGAGTAACTTTTATTCCTTCTAGGTTCTCTAAAAACCAGTCATTATCACTGGAAAATTACCTAATCCGTTTTCTTTGTTAATGTTCTTCGATCTGCTAAAGCATTTAATTAGCAGTAACCTTAGTCTTAATGAATACATGAAACAAACTGCTTGTACAAAATGCTCACCTCTATAAGAAAAACATAGCGCACTTCATAAACAAGTGGGATATGCACAATTGATTTTAGAGGTCAGAAGCGTGGCCACAGGGCAAGCCCACTAATCCGTGTTAAGACTTGGTGTGGCCGACCATTATTTATCATATAAAACTCACAAAGTGAATGAACATCCTTTGTTATACTGCATATTTTATTACAGGGGATTAACAGTTGGATGGCAATGCAGTCACCCCACCAAACACTGCTTAATATTCAAGTACCTTCAAACGTGCAACTAAGTACTCTAATTAATTAATCCGGAAGTGCCAAAGGTATCGTACAACTTGATAGACCAGCTTAATAGGCTAGCTGGGTCGTCCCTATCAGATGTGGAATTTAAAGAGACGAGAAAAAACTATGAATTTGGTCTACAAACTCGTTAATTACAATCCAAGCAAAATGAAGAAACCAACATCAAACCAGCTCAAATATTCGCATACTATTCCAACTGAAAGCTGCCTTTAAGGCCCACAATTCAAACCCATGAATCGACGGGAATCCAGGGCATTCTAGACGGTCAATCTACATTAACAAGTCACAAAATGCATAATTCACAATTTTGGTTTGTGAACATCTCTGCTTGCAAAACTAGAGCCATAATAGAAGGGGCGGCAGTGCCGCAGTGATCTTTTATAGCAAGGTGCGAACAGATTTTCGAAAGTAATATTTGCTAGGAACTCGCAAGATAGCGGATGATCCAAAAGAAACAAAAAAATACAAAATGGAAATGGAAGGAGAATGCGCTAACCTTCCGCAAAAGGACAGTTCATGTGAAACACAACTATACTCGGACAACCCAGTCTTGTCAATTTGGCATCACCCTGTAATGGCAGGGCAGCTTCTATACATGAATTGGAGTCTTTGCGTATATTTTATAATACTAACCTAGACTTGCTTCCACAGATCATCTCAGGCTGTCTTAAAGTTCACCACCCCTACGGTGATCTTAATTGCCTCTAGAAAACAACTCCTCCATCATCGCTGTATCTCTTGTAGAGAGCAATCTGTGGATCTGTGGTAGAATGGCTAGCTCTGTGAGACTTACAAATGCCATAAGTTCTTCAAATAATGATCACGTACTGCTCAATGGATCTTCTGATGACTGCAAACACTCTTCTGGGTTCGAATAGAAGTAATCCTCTTCTTTAGGCCTGTCAGGGATCACCAACCTTTTTGTTGGGCCCCCCATCCTATCTGCATGGGATCCTTTTACAGCATCTGAAAATTCCTCCCAGCTTAGTGATCCATTAGAGTATCGATCTATCAGATCAACCAAAAGCCTTCTATCCAGTAAAATTGTCTTCTTAAAGCCAAGGAATCTGAAGAGACATTAGACATAGAATAAGACAGTGTTACAATAGAAGAGTTTTGACTTCACACACAAAAGAAAAGATAGTACTGAAACCACTGACAAAAAAAGACACAGGGAACTCATAAGTGAATAATCAAAAAACTTCCTCAATTGATGTAACAATCTTCCCAAAAATCAACAATAACAAGTTCATGAATTTTAAATAAAAAAAACAAGGTTCGAAGTTCAGTAATAATTTCACAGCCAGAATAAAGAACTCTGTCTGGATGTAGAAGGCATACAAAAATTTGTCCTCTGATGCGAGAAAAAATGGAATGTTTAAAACTTGAAGGTATTTGAATTACAAAATCATTTATCTAAGGCCAAAGAGATCACTCCATTATTTTAAAAACACAAAATGACCTGAACCAAAAAGAAGAAATTATTTGGAAGAAAAATACCTGCGATGGCCTTCAACAACTTTAGCCATGTTTCCATCATAGGTAGGAACAAAAATATCACTCTCCAATGCAACAAGATAATCCAATGCTGCCATTTGAGATGAGTGATTCTGGAAGAACCTAAGGTCTGATGGTTCCAACAGTGTCTCCTTTCTGACCTGTTCAAAAACCAAAAGAAACCTGTTAACAGAAGAGGACAAACAACTATCTAAGGTGTAAACAGTTGATTTCAGCTTTGATCTACCAACCAGTTTTGGATAAGCAGCTGCAAGATTTGCCATTCTCCGTCCACCCCCATATATTTCACCAGCTGCAATATAGATTTGTATATTTGGATCAATGTCCAGTGCCCTCAACGTGAGAGCTGTTTCCTCAGGTGTCAAGGGACACAACCCATCTTTCCTCTTCAAATCCGAATTTATAATTTTTTCTTTCCACCAAGGATAAGCATATCTGTTAAGATGAGAACATGTGAACTAAGGATCAAATAAATATTTCAGGCTGCTTGAAGCCAAAGAGCTGATAAAAATTATGTATAGCTTACCTCATTCTTGTCAATTCGTCCACCTCTTCATCGTTGCAACCTTGAGTACAGCCAGAAAATGCCAGCATGTCCATTTCATATCGAAGGTGGAGTACCAAGAAAGGACCATTTTTTCTTAGAAGCCTTATAACTCTCTTACCCAAATCCTCTATTTGAGTGGTGAATCTCAGAGCACTAAAATTCACACGGCATCGCAACTTCTGTAGCTCTAGAGGTTGGCGATTATTTGCAAGTCGAGCATCAGTTCTATTTAGATGTACAACTTTGTACTTCTGTATCAATGGAAGAATCTGCATACCCAAAAAAAAAACGATGAGCAAAATAAATAGATAAAAATTAACAACAATACTAGGTAACTTGGAAACCTTGCTTGAGCCTACAATTAAGCTAGCTGATGGAAATTGGCAATAAGTACTTCAAAGAGTAACACATAGCAACTTTTGTAACACTGCCAGAAGCAAAAAGGACAGCAATAAACTAACCTGGTTATGATAGTAAGAAATATCAGACCAGCTAACTGGTGGCATGGTATAAGTCATCCCCAGTTCCACTCTCTGCTTCAGCCTAGGAGGCAATTCTTTCAATATCCGAACCTCATCTCTTAATGATGTGATAAAATGGTCCACATCAAATATGTCTTGGAACTCGCTGTGAGATCACAGATATTCATTAAAAGGTAAGGTACATATCCTGACGGAAAATAAGGGGGAACTAAATGATATAGATGATTACTCTACCATTGGAAACATCTGTTAGCTTGAAATACAAACATGAATGAGTTAACACACCTGGGATCAGCCCAAAAAGAGGTTTTATCCAGCTCTGGTACTATAAGTGTAACATTCAAATATCTAGCAATAGCAACCATATCACATATCTGTAAGGCAGAGAAGCAAAGCAATGAAATTAATCACAGATAAATGCGGAAACAACATCATCACTGTAAAATCAGCCACCAACATGCACAAGTTCTCCCAGCACAGTTGTAGCCACTCACCGCTGCTCTCATTTGATTGAGACCGCCATTACATGAGACCATTAAGTATCCATTGTTCTTATAAACCCCTAATGCCAACCAACAAATGGAATATATCAGTCTAAAAATGACACTGAGAATTACCAACATGTTAAGCATAGTACAATCACATGCTAAGAACACAAATAGATAAGACATTCCACACATAATTATATTCCAACCCAATTAAAATAGAAGAAAGGCATCAGATGCTAACAAGTTTTCCCAACTAAAGTTCACCACAAGTATACTTTTATTTGACAAATATTCTTCCCATGGGATAACTTGCAGCAACTTTAACACTCAAACAGCCATCGATTTTTATCAAATGCAAGCAAACAAACAAGGAAGCTTTCCACAAAACAGACTGGTTTGATCAGAGAGAGAAAAATCCATCTGTTCACGAAATCATGTGAAGAATCTCAAACTTCCTTATTTTCTTACCACTATCAAAACAAAAAATAAAAATTCCAAAAAACAAATCAGACAATTAATTGAGATTATTAATTAATAACTAAAAGTACTGACTCTTCGGTGGCAAAATACGAGCGGGGAGAGCAGGAAGATTCTCTTGCAAGGCGGCAGAGACAGATTGAGAAGGCCAACAAGAAGGCCAACCTTTCAAAACCCTAGGACCCCACATCTCACCGATTGTCGTCAATTGAACTACACAAGTCCACAACAAAACCGACGTCGTTGCCCGTATCATCCACAGCTTCATTTTCGAGGAAGGCCTTGATATACTACTCCTCATCTTTTCGACTCCTTTAACTACCCCCATACTCCTCTCCTTCTCTCCTCCTCCTCCACACTTTCTCTCTACCCTGCACATTTCTCCCCCATCCAAAACGACCTGTCGTTCCTCTTCTGCTTTATCTCCTCTCTTTCTTTCTTTTTTCCAACAATGCAGGATCCGTAACCGCAATTAAAACCTTCGAGATCCAAAACTAAATCAATAAACAAATAAATCTAAATTCCCTTCCACCTCTTCAAAATCACGAAAAAAAAATCAATTAATTAATTAATCAATCAATCAAGGAAAAAAAAACAAGTTTCTCCACGATCTCGTCAATTTTTCCGGCGAGAGATGACCAACACTCGCCGGCGATCATAAAAAACGTAAGGAGAAAAAAGGAGAGAGACTGTGTAGTAAACAAGAAGAACCGCTAAAGGCAAAGGAACAGTAGCAGCAGCAGCAACAACAAAATGCGGTGTGGTGGAGGCTAGAGAGAGATAAAGAAGAGCTGTTATGGCGTGAACCGGTAACACAAACACCGCTTGATCACTTTCCACACGTTGTTTATTCAGACTTTCTTTTTCTTTCTCGTCTTGCTATATTTATTTAACTATGGTTATTGTTGACTATGGTTTACGTGTTGACTGACTCTGGTTAACTCAACACTTAAATTTCAGCCAGTAAATGCTTGCCAGCTGAACGCCGATACGGAAGGGTCCACCGGAATTAAGTGTACCTGACGTGGCAGTTGATCCGGCCGTGGAGAAATAAAACGTGGCGGGCCTTTGATTTTGGGGAATTTGTGGGGCAGGAGCAGCAGTTGGTTTATACACCGACAATATATCGCGAGAAATTACGGGTTAGATGCAAACTAAGTTTCTTTTTTAACACTATTTTCCGAAAATGAAAATCTATTTTTCTATATATGCAGGGAGTAACTTGATCTATCCAAGGAGTTAAAAGTTTCCTTTCTCATTTCATTTAATTTTGTGACAACGTAAAAGAAGTTGTACACGGCATGCTGCATTGGATTGGCATATACGGTAACAAATCATCCAAATCTTAAATTTTAAAAATTAAAATAGAAATTCAAAACCACAAATTGAAATATATGGTAATTTTGTGTGGATCTTATCTTGCAATATACTGATTCTTTAATCTAATTTTAGTAGGTCGTCTACAGCCGGTTCTTTTTCTTTTTTCTTTTTTCCTAACATGAAAACAAATGTTTTCTTTTCAAATGTTAACAGTTGAGGATGAATGTGACGATAAATAAATTTTCATTTTTTTCCTCGAGATATTAAAGGAATCATTGATTGATTAAAGCAATTACTAATAGTTTACTACAAATATCCCCGATTAATTTACCCTCTCGTTTGGATAGGGTAGAAAGTGAGGGAGAGGAAAGAAAATAGGGTGGAAAGAAAAGGTTTCTCTCGTTTGGTTTGCGAAGAAAAGCGAGGAAAGAAAAAAAAATATTAAACAATACTAAAAGAGGTGGGACCCATTTTCCTCCCAAAATTGGGAGGAAATGGGGAGAAAAACGGAAGGAAACGCGAGTTCTTCCAGTTTCGCCCACAGCGACCATCCCTTCTCTTCCTCTTCCCCGCACTCTCTCTCTCTCTCGCTTACCAACAACCATAATCGAACTTCGCAACTCCACTCCTTCTCTCCTTCTCTCTGCAAAACGGAATGAAACTCATGTTCCCCCATTGCTCGTCGTTCCTCGCTATTGCTCGACCCTCTCGCCTCGCCTCTGCAAATCTCTCCTCTCTCGCCTGAATCGGTGACCAAATCGGCTCCGAAACTCATCTCTCGCAAACCCCATCCGCCATTTCCGATATATGCTCGCCTTTCCCTTCGTTGTAGTTTCCGATCTCACCTCTGCCTCTGCAAACCCACTCCTTCTCTCTCGCTTAATCCATTCCCAAAACATCCACGAAACTCGTCTCTGCAAAACCATCCGCCATTTCCGATATATGCCTGCCCTTCTCTCTCGTTGTATTGTCCGATCTCGCCTCTGCAAACCCACTCCCTCTCTCGCCGAATCCGTTACCAACGACTCTATAATTTGTATTTTTTTTTTCAAGTTGCTTGCGTCCGACGGCGTCGCCGTGGTGTTTCCGAGCGACCACTTTCGTGACACCCATTTCCATCTCCTCCAAAGTTTTTTCCGTCAGCTAGGGCGTGTATGATTTTTTTGATTTTGTTCTTGCAGGTATTATTTGGTTTGAGTTTGTTCTGTCATTCACTTGATGGGTTTGTTTGCAATAATGTGAAGACGAGATATTTGGGGGCGTTATTTGGTTTGGAAGAATCGAAACTTTTTGAAAGCATGAAAGCGAGTCACGTTGAGTTATAAAACTCATTGCAAAGAGATCTACGACGAATGGATGGGCAACTCTTTCTTATCAAGCATCTTAATCTTAAGGGAGCAGGTTATTTCCCTTATTCTTCCATTTTGTTATTTGGTGGTTATTTAAATATGCAATAAGGTTTACAACTTTTGAGTTTTATCCTTTCGGATTGCACCATTTGATATCGAATTTTCGAGTCACATACAAGGAACTTGACTTCTCTCATCTCGTTGGTAAGGTTCATCGAAGCTAAAGCTTAGTTCTCTTCACTATTTGATGTCTTAATATTTCGCATGCAATTTTAATAGATAATTCGAAAAGTTTGTAATTCAAGGAAACTTTTATAACTCAACATTACCTGCTTTCATGCTTTCAAAAAGTTTGCAATAATGTGAAATGATAATTCGAAAGGGTGCAGATTTGCTTGTTGAAGGCATTCCAAAAGTTTGCCGTTTGTATCTATGTGAGTTGTTGAGTCTATAGAATTACTTGCTTGTCATGATTTCATGCATTTGCGGCACTTTAATTACTTGAGTCGCTTGGATGAATGTATTTACATGAAAATGGCCTCTTGCCATTTCTTGAAATTCCGACATGAATATTGTGATTAAAATTTTTTTCATTTTATGTAATCTACTATTGACTTTTGTTCAATTTGATAGAAGCATCAACGAGTGCTTTGCCGCATCCTTATTTTGTATCCTGCTTATTTTTGCCATTAACGTGTCAACTCGCATATAGAATTAACCTTCATAATTGATATGCCATATTTCAATTCAAAACGTCTTTTTACCTTCACCAAAATATATATCAAGTCGGCATGTTTTTGGCCTAACTTTTCCGTTTTTTATATGTGGTTGCGAGAGATGAAGATGAACAAGATGATTTTGAAGAAAGGATTGCATTGAAATTAGCTAAACAGGAAGAGGAAGATCTTAATAGAATAAAGTAGGAGAGTAGAAAGCGCAAGGAAGCCATTATTTAGAAATATAGAAATCGGCGATTCATGACACTGAATGTTTTTTGTTGTACATGCTTGCTTGGATGGGTGTCACTTAGATATGGTAACTTGCTTGTTGAAATTACATATTGTTATCGACAAACATGATTCGGAATTATCATTTCATGTCATTTGCATGTTCCGAGCATTACATGCAATTTTTGCAACGTAAACGAGTTATAGTATTTGATATGGGATACACATAAATTCATCAATTAAATTAGTATTCTTATCAATTTTTTTGATAATTGATAAAAAATATATTGATAATTATATAAAAAAACATTTATATAAATAACCATTTAATGAATAAACTTAGTGATACTTTTTTACATCTCACTCAAATTACTAAAAAGGATAATCATCACCCGAACTCTGTTGGTATTAATATATATTGACAATGTCTCACACGTGCACCTTCATTTGTTTTTTGTTCCATCAAAAAATGAAATAAAAAACTTAATAATTTTGTCCTCAACATGTAATTGATGTTTTTTGAAAGAGAGAATATGAATTGTAATAATTGTAAAATGGAAGCTTGGACTATCCCTTTTCAATTCTTGTTAAATGATTGCCCCATGCAATTACACCTAATTAATGCTCAAACATTTGTAGTTCATAAACCTATACCCAAAGGAAGTGCTTGCAAGAGATCATCTACGACAAGAATTAGTAAATAGGTTAACTTCAAATGAGACGTCTGTCGAGATATTGTACGAATGAGTCCCCAAGCTTTCTTCCACTTATGTCGGATGTTGAGAGGAAGTGGTAATTTGAAGGACTATAGGCGAGCAACGATAGAGGAGCAAGTTGCTAAGTTCCTCCACATTTTAGGTCACAACTTGGAAAAATCGAGAGCTCGTATTTTATTTTCATCGGTCGAGTGAAACTATTAGTCGACATTTTCATAATGTGTTGCGAGCGAGTGATTTCCCTTGAAAGCGAACTGCTTAGACAACCACTTGGTTCGGAGGTTCCACATCGGATTAGAAATAGTAGTAGATTTTTTCCTTTTTTCAAGGTAAGAAACCTTCTTTATATTTTACTTAAGCAACTTTTCTAAGTTATTTATTTATTTAACAATTATATGATATATGAAATCATTTATACATATAAATTTATACGGGATTGTATTGGGGCAATAGATGGAACACATATTCGTGTTAAGGTACCAAATGATATTGCAATCGGATATCGAGGTCGAAAAGATTGGCCAACACAAAATGTATTAGGCTGCTTGTGACTTTGACATGAAGTTTACATATGTTTTAGCCGGATGGGAGGGAACGACCTACGATTCAAGAATTTTAAAAAATGCTCTAGATAGGGAAGACAAGCTGATAATTCCTCGAGGTTAGTTTAATTATTCTAGAGTTCTACTCTCGTGTTTTTGAATGTAACTATATATCTTCTAACCATATGTAATCATTTTTCATAGGAAAATATTATTTGGTGGATGCGGGTTACATGTTAAAAAGTACACTACTCACCCCATATAGAGGTGTGTGATACCATTTGAAAGAATATTACTGTACGTGGCCCTCGGAATTATAAGGAGTTATTCAACCATCGTCACGCCTCCCTTCGAAATGTCATTGAAAGAGCATTTGGTGTAATGAAAAAAAGATTTCCCATCATCGCAAGTGGAACAGAACCACATTACTCATTTCATACAATGACGGACATAGTGCTTGCTTGTTTTATATTGCATAACTATTTGATTGGAGTTGATCCTGATG